GTCTACGGATCTCTATACTCACGATACGAAACACAGCAGTATTAAGCTGCTATTTTACGCTGGTATTCTGTGAGAGCGTGATCCTTCCTCGATCGGACCGACACATTCGTGATACAACTATAATGTAGCTGCAGCGTGGCAATCCGACGCGATCGGAGAGAGATCAGACGCAGGATCAGCGGTTTTACGTGCGTGTGGATGAAACACCGTGTTCTTCTTTACCGACCTGCTACTGAAAGCTTTTTGACAGACTGTCAGTTCTGTTCTGTTTAGTGGTTGCAAGCGTGACTGGCAGTCACACTTGCAACCACTAAACCAACGACGCAGTCAACTCGTCAACTTGTTAGAATAATGGCTTGATAAGGCATGTGGGTAGTCGATGGACACAGGTGGCCCTGAATCATAGTTTGTAGCAATTAAAGGATATGAGTAGCCTTACGATTAATACTTTTTTGATCTATATCAAGACACCATCACGAGAAATTATGATGATGTATGTAGTTTGTCGGCTCCTTGGCGCAGTGGCTTAGCAATGAGTTGCAGTGCTAAGGCGCGAGTTCGAATCCCGCATGGATCAAGTATTTGTATGGCCTACAAATATTTGTTTCGGGTCTAGGTGTTTGTTCTTGTGAAATTGATGCATGTAACTACCCAACGATATAGGAAAAACCTTAGTGTGGATGTAACGTTCAAAAAAAAACGTTTAGGCCAATTTTTTTATAGGATAGAGTGACAAACGAGCACACAGTCCACCTGATGGTAAGTGGTTGCTGTGGCCCATAGACATCTACATCTATCCTCGATTACAAAACAAAATGCGGATGCGTTGTCACCCGTGATGACTCAGATGGAATGTCTTGTTTCCAGTAAAAAGGGTCTCCGGTTCTCTACACTCACCATACAAAATACAGCAGCATTAAGCTATTATTTCACGCTGGTATTCTTGCTTGCTTGTTGGTGTGTCATTTTTTTTTCGTAATTTTTGCTAGTATTACCTGGAAGTAATGACATGTATTTGTACGTTTCATACGCACAATCAAGTAGTAATAGTCAATAGTATCTCTTCTTCTCTAGTTTGATAACTTAAAAATAATGATATCTTTTATGGCATAAGGGTCGAGCAGCTACTAGCTTAGGGCCTAAGCGCTCGCTGTAAATTTCACAGTACGCGAGATTCATCGGGGCCGGCAGTGTTCAACCCCTGCCGGCCTTATGAACTTGTTAACTGCAACTTTAAGTGCTGATGCTGATTCACCACGTGCTGGGCGGTGAAGGAAAACATCGTGAATAAACCCGCATGTCTGAGAAATAAGAAAAGAAAATATATTTCGAAGACATGAAGACTGACATGAGAGGAGAAATGAGAGGAGGCCTATGCCCAGCAGTGGGATGGGAGACGAAGGAGCACACAGACCACCCTATGCTAAGTGGGTGCAGTTGCCCATAGACCATTACATACATTCTCAATTAAGAATCAAAATGCAGATACGCTGTCACCCCTGATGAGAAAACAGAGGCAGAATGGATAGATAGATGCCTGTCATGAGGATAAGGCTCGGGTTTAAGATCTTATTATTTCTTAAAAGGTTACAAATCACTTAAGAATACGAAAATAGAAAAATTGATTAATTACGAGCATACAAGATTACATGTAACGATCTATAGATGTGGGTAAAACGCATAGCTTAAGTATCGTGACCGAACATAAAACACGAGTTTGTTCAAAATAATTAAGATTTAATTTACCTAAGTAATTTTGTTTTTGTGTTAATTTTTCAAAAAAATTTAAGAAATGATATTTTTCTTGATTTTTTATTGATTTTTAAGAAATTCTGATAGAAGGTTATTGTAATGGGTCCGATTTCATGGTCTTTAAATTTGGATATTATGGTTTTAGTAGGATATCAATCTGGGTGTGTATTTATGTTGTGTGTGTGTGAGATTAATATTTTCTTCTTATATCTCGAAAACAAATAATGATATCGACGTCGGATTAATTCCATCGATGCACACTTATGTAATTAAAAACTGATTAAGTTTCTTATCAAAAGAATTTCAGCGTTTTTTCGATAAATTAACTGAAAAATTGGCACAGTAAATTATAAAGCAATTGATAATATACAACACGTAACATAATTAACGTACTTTGAGAAAGTAGTTTGTTCAGAATCGTTTACTGAATCGATTCCTATCATTTTTAATATAGGTAATTTTTTATCCCAAAAATAAATTAAACTACGTAAATTACAGTCACACTAAATCTGTACAGTCAAAACAAACTGAAATGGACCGTAACTTAAGGCAATAAGACTTTTAAGAGTGCAGTTTTATTTGTATTATTACTAATTCTGTCAGTCAGTAAAAATAACGAAAAAAAAAGAACTTTATTTGAAGCACGTTAAAGTCTTTGCGTTCGTGGATTTGTACTGTGACCACAACATTCTCCCGGAATTAGTATAACTAATTTGATAAATAATCAGTGCATAAAAATGTTGAACTAAAAATTCAGTGCATGTATTGTGATTATAACATAATAGGTATACTAATTGTGGTGTCTGAGGGTGTGCGTTAATTACGTTACATATATTATGTTTTACTCATACAGTTTATGAATATGATTAGCGCAGTTTATAACGAAAACATTTAAAGGCATTCCTATTTTTATTACATATGTTAAGTTACAGCCTATATAGGTCCCACGGTTGGGCACAGGACATACATTTCTATTTATTTTAGTTTTTGTTTCTAATACGAACCTTCTTCGTAGTGTTTCTCGATATACATCAATGCATAAAAAACATAAATTCAACGTCTCTAATAATTACATCGAAAGATGAACATCGATGTATAATATTTTTCATGGACATCTTTACGCACTGTTTCTGTTTAGAAGTTTCTAATGGTCAGTGTAGTGTGTTTGCGTCGTAAGGGAATCTACTATCCTACATAATTCCCAGTTCACCAGTCTCTACTTCTGCCTATCCTTGACTATGTTGATATTTGCTATCTTGACATTACCGAGGAGCAGCTTAATAAGCTTGAGCGCATTCAAAATGTATGATTAGATTTATAATTGGGCTTCGCAAATATGATCATATCTCCGAATTTTACAAACAGCTCAAATGGCTCCCGATCCGCCTTCGCAGGAATACTCACATTCTCTCCGCATTGTAAAGTGTGCTGTTTAATCCTTCCACTCCTCTTTATATAAAAAACCGTTTCCAGTATCTTTCTCTTACCCATAATCGGTTCCTTCGATCCTTCGTCAATCTTTCTCCCTCAACACCTTTGCACTCTTCTTCCTTTTTTCAAGAAATCCACTGTAATCGCTGTGCGATTGTGGAACTCCTTACCTCTCCATATTCGTCGTGCTAAATCTCTTCACTTTTTCAAAAGTCTTGTTTAATCGTATTATTTAGAACGCTATTAGATAAATTACTTTACCTTTCTCGTACTCTTTTCATTTAATCTATTATATGATATTTTATATATAACTTTCACTTATCTTTATTTGTATGTATTATCATATTTTTTTTATTATTATTATTTTGTATGCCCCCCTCTATTTTATCTTTTGTTTGCATCATTCCTCTACGCAAAGGTTGTCTGGAAGAAATCACTTTCAGAGTGATAAGACCGCCTATTGTACATACTTTAATTTAGTTTTAACTGAACTTGATGTTTCTGTATTGTGGTGTACAAAAAAGAATAAATAAATAAATAAATAATTTTGTAATATTTTTACGACTAGAATAATTTTGTATTATACGTGGTAGAGACATGCTGCAGCTGTATTATGGTAGTAGCACGAATGGGTCGGCTCGACCGGGGAAGGACCACGTTCCACAGAATACCAGCGTATAAAAGCAGCTTAATGCTGCAGTGTTTCGTATGGTGAGTGTAGAGATCCGGAGCCCCTTTTTTAATGGAAACGAGGCATTCCATCTTAGTGCTCAGGGGTGACAACGCATCCACATTTTTAATTCTTAATCGAGGTTAAATGTAGATGTCTATGGGCCACAGCAACCACTTACCATCACTTGAACTGTTTGCTCGTTTGTCACCCATATTCTATAAATAAAAAAATTGTACGAGGTAACAGAGGGAAATGAGATAGGAGCACCGTCCTGACAACAACTCCAAATAACATAATACTGTGGTTGTTAACTCGCAAATATTTCGCCTATTAGATAGCCTATAAGGCAAACTTATGTTCAGCAGTAGACTTTCGATAGACTGCAATGAATGTATAAATGAATGAATAAAAATGATGAGAAATTACTTTGTAATGATGATAGCAATACTGCAGCATATTTTGCTTGCAGTTTACTCATTAGTTCTAATCTTATTTAATAAAAACGTTTCTTCTTTACTAGGATTTTCTCCTGCATCGTGGGTGCAGTTTACAAACATAAATTTCACAAGGACAAACATCCAGACCCGGAACAATTACTTGTAGGCCATACAAACACTTGTTCCGTGGGGGATTCGAACCTGCGGCTCTTAGAGCTGTAACTCGTAGCTAAGCTACTGCGCCACGGAGCCGTCAATCTTTTTTGTTCTTTATCGCAATGATCATATTGTAAACTGCTAGGTCTTTTGTCACTATCTATTAATCTATTTATTGAAACATACAAAGAAAGGAATAAAAAGTTTGTATACTAATATTATGATAGTATGTAAGACATTTGGTATTTTTAATAATTTTAAAATTTAGTTTCGAAATAAGCTTTTGATATAAACAATTTGCACTAATACCTTACGTTAAAATACAAAATTAAGACGCAATATATAGTGCTAAGGATTATTATTGTTTTTCTTTTCTGTTACAGATTGTATTCAAAACATGAGAGCAGTATCGATTCAGTCTTTTCAAGAGTAGCGAAGAGGTGTGCCGCAAGGTGCTCTTGTAGGTCGTACACTTTATACCAATTATAGTTAATGATATAGTGTTACGGATAGTATTAAATATTTAACTTACTACAATCAGTGATATCTGGATGTGTCTCCAACGGGACGAAGACGATGGTGATCATATAAATGATTTGGTGAGTTTTTTTTTATTGAATAATTAGTTACCACTATTTTAATTTTTGCAAAGCCATTGCTTTTTGTTTTAGTTTTTTAAGGTAATTTATAATCTTTTTAATACAGTTGGTTGCTTATTTTATGGTCACTATGTGATCCCCTTAACTTTAATAACGTTATTAAAATTATTTATAATTATTATTTTTTTAATAAATGGTAGGACTAATTTCAAAAATAAAAAATATTATTCCACATAATAGCTTCTAAAGTCGTTGGTATGACATAATGTATCGATATGTAGTACATACTTTGATTATATACCTGTCTATATAATCAAAGAGTACATATCACCATGTAAAAACTATTTTTCTTTTGAGTTTTGTAGTCGGTTCTACTTTTTATCAAAAGTTTATGTTACTCTTTTGACTGGTGTAATGAATGTGACAAGTTCAAGGTAAATTACATGTCGTTCAAATAAGTACATTAAAATCTTCATTACCCATTTTTCCACCATTAGGGACGGATTTTTTTAAAATTATATGGGACTACTTCTGAAGTTTGAAGTCCCGATGTCATAGTTAGCACGGATACTTTCAGTTCTTGAATGTTAATTTTTGTTTCGATCTACGCAGAACGAGCTCACGATACTGTAAAGTTACAATACTGTAAACTTGCAACTTAAATTCGCAATCTTATAGCAGGTTTTTTAATATTATTGGATGACAAACGAGCACACAGTCCATTTGATGGTAAGTGATTACTGTGGCCCATAGACATCTGCATCTATCCTCGATTACGAATCAAAATACAAATGCGTTGTCACCCGTGAGGACTAAGATGGAATGCCTCGTTTCTAGTAAAAAGGGTCTCCGGTTCTCTACATTCACCATACGAAAAACAACAGCGCGCTGTTATTCCGTGAGAGCGTGGTCCTTCCCCGGTGGAGCCGACCCATTCGTGCTACAACTATATATACCAGTAATGCAGTTGCTGCATGGCTCTACCACTTATAGAATGTCAAAGTTAATACATATATCAAAGTTAATGTTAAAGTTACATCCTATATAAGTACCACAACTGGGCACAGGCGTCCTCTCATTTCTGAAAGGAATTTAAGAAATCTCTATAAGATTCATTTATTCATACATAATAGCCCATAAAGGCCTTCTGCTGCACATGGGCGTATTCCAAAAGATTGCATCATTGGGATAATTTTGCCATAGTTGCCACGCTTGGTTGGCAACCGCAGTTTTCGAGAAATCGGCATACGCACAAAAACATACGCGTCGATTATATAAACATATGTTTTGAACTCAGTTAATAAAATATTCAATCCATCCCATGTGCTAAAGGGATTTATTTTCATTCTTCGTTATTGTTTACGGACGCAACAATACTGTTCGTAAACCACGTAGTGGTTTTCAAATTCGAATTCCAGTTATAGCGTACGATAATACAGTAGCACAGGTGTGAATGATGTGACTATCTGTATCTTAATTCTTATAGCTGGTTTTTTATAAAAAATATTGGGTGACAAACGAGCACGCAATCTACCTGACGGTAAGTGGATGCTGTAGCCCATAGTCATCAACATTTATCCTCAATTAAGAATCAAAATGCGTTTTCAGCCCTGAGGGCTAAGATGGAATTACTCGATCCCAGTAAAAAGGATCTCCGGTTCTCTACATTCACTATACGAAACACAGCAGCTATTCTACACTGGTATTCTGTGAGAGCGTGGTCCTGCCCCGGCTGACCCGACCTATTCGTGCTAAAAATATCATATTGCTGCAGCGTAACTCTGCCACGTAGAATCGTTATAATGGGAAAACGATACGGAATAACACGCTTAATTCCAAAGCTTTCTCCGAGCTTACGGTCATTTGGCGACCCCATCTTTGATGTTTTGTGTCCTATGTTATAGTATAGTGTCTAATCTTAAAATAATCATCTTTTATTTTTATTGTGCTATTCCAATCAAATGAAATTACTTTGTAGTGGCGTTGTAAGAATATCCACTACTCCATATCATCCGCGTCGTAAGAATATCCACTACTCCATATCATCCGCGTCGCAAGAGGCGACAGAAGAAATCAATAGATGGGTAGCGTCGTCGTCCTAAAAATAACTAAAAATCAAAAATTGCGGCATATGGTGAGTGTAGAGAACCGGTGATCCTTTTTACTGGAATCGAGGCATTCCATCTTAGCCCTCGGGGTTGACAACGCATTTGCATTTTAATTCTTAATTGAGGATAAATGTGGACGTCTATTGGCCACAGCATCCACTTACATCAGGTGGATTGTGTGCTCGTTTGTCACCCAATAATATAAAAAAAATCTGCTATAAGTTTTAAGATACAGATATTCACGTCATTCACACCTGTGGTACTGTATTATCGTACGCTACAACTTTAAATTCGAATTAGAAAACCACTACGTAAACAACAACGAAGAATGAAAATAAATTCCTTTAGCACATTGGATGGATTGGCTATTATAAATTATTAACCGAGTTCACGACAAGTTATACCAACCCACTTGGTCAAGCACGGCAACTATGCAAATATCCCTCCTATAAGGCAAACTATGGGGGAAGCCTATGTTTGGCTGTGGACTTTAATAGGCCGTTAGTAATGGATTCCAATCAATGTTGATTATATTATCAGATTAATTTCATATTTTTAAATTTCTCTCAAAATATTGTCAATCATAAACTATGGTGATAACTGGTATTATCATTTCGAGCAACTAGAATTTAGACTCAATGTTGGTATAGTATGCAATGATAAGAGACAGAAGCTTTTATTTCCAGTTATACAAAAGAATAGTAAGCAAGACGCTATTTACGTAATAAGAAAATTCAAAAGGAGTATACAAACTTACTTTTCATGATATTTTAAGCCTAATTAAAAAAATAAGTTTCTCAATTCAATTGTGTGTATTTTATATGTATATGTGTTTCGCGAGCGATGGCAGCTCAATGGAAACTTAAAATTTCACAGTGCGAGAGCAACCCGGGTTCGATCCACGCCAATACCAATTAAATTGGTAAATGCAATTTTAAATGCTATTTCACCACGTGCTCGGCGGTGAGACATAGTGAGGAAACGTGCATGTCTAAAAAAAAACAAAAAATACTGACATTAGGACGTCAAACATCTCAGTACCCCCGTGACCATGGGTGCTGTATAGCATCCGAAACTTTGGGAATTAAAAATAAGTTAATGAAACGCGATAAAATCCGTATAAAAAGTTATATTCAACTTTATTAGAAATTAAGGTGACAAACGAGCACACAGTCTGCCGAAATGTAAGTGGATACTTTGGTCCATCAACTCCTTCTTCTATTTTCGATTAGGAATCATAATTGCCACTGCTGAGAAATAAGTGGAACGTTCGTAGTCATATGACATTTTGGCACCGGAACAATTTGGTTTTAGGAAATACTGATCAACGCAATTAACTACCTTCACCCTAATAAACAGCATCGTTAATAATATCAACCATAAAATCCTAACATTAGCTCTACTTTTAGACCTCAGCAAAGCATTCGATTTTGTTGATCTTTCAATACTCATCTCGAAACTTGAGAAATGTGGAATAAGGGGATCTTCATTGTTATGGTTTCAGTCATATTTAAAAAACAGGAAACAATTCGCTAGGATTACAAAATTTGATACTAAAACAAATAATATAGTTAAGTTTGACTCGAAACAAAGGATTAATTGTACCGGGGTGCCACAAGGTAGCATCTTAGGGCCCCTTTTATTTCTTATTTACGTGAATGACCTTCCACGTGCACTCACACATGATTGTGTCTTGTTTGCAGACGATACGACTATCATTATGGGCTGTAAAAATATAGATACCTATGAGACGGAAATATATAAAACGTTAGAAGATGTTATCCAATGGTTAAACATAAACAAATTAAAAATAAACATTGATAAAACGAAAATAATTAACTTCAAAACTTATAAGAGTAAAAACATGGAATTGAATATTACTTACAATAATTCAGTTATACAACAAATAAACACCGCAAAATTCTTAGGCATTATTCTCGATACACATATTTCATGGAAAGAACATATTAATAATTTATGCATAAAAATAAATAAGTTTGTTTTTGCACTTCGAAAGGTAAAAGACGTGACAAGCAGACATACCTCTATTATGGTATATCACGCTTACATTTGCTCCATTATACGATATGGCATAGTTGTCTGGGGAAATTCCTGCCACATCACGAGGGTGTTTAAAGCACAGAAAAAATGCATTAGGGCACTGTACGGCATGGATTGGTCGGAATCATGTAAACCGACTTTTAAATCAAATAATCTACTAAGTGTTCCCTGCATATACATCTACGAAACAGCTAAATTTGTTAAATACCACAGTCATCTCTTCACCGCTAATGACAATACATTTAAACGAAAAATTAACCACGTGCCATTAAAAATGCCTGCGCCTAAGCTAGAACTGTTTAAAAAAACTGTGCTTATATGGCACCTCTAATATATAACTCTTTGCCCAAAGGAATGACTGACCTGCCATATAAAAGGTTCTGTTGTGCCTTGCGAAAATGGTTAATCCAGGAGAGTTTCTATACCATTAAAGACTTTTTGAATAATAGCACTTACCGATTTGGTGCCCACTAAGATATCAGATCTTTCTTTTTATTTCTTGTAACTTAGTCTATTATAATAATTCAATAATTTATATAATTGTAATTATGTAATTCAAATAACTGAAATTTAAAAGATTGTTGTAATTGCAATTAAAATATTTTTTATGAATTGTTATTCAAATAGTTCTAATAATTGTAATTTTATTCAAATAATTGTTATAAATTTACTATGATTTTGCATGCCCGTAATGAGGGTGAAATATGTCCTGTGCTATAAGTTACTTTAACATCTTGTGTACCAACCATATTTCTTGCAAATAAATGATTTATGATTATGATTATGATTCGTTACCAGTAAAAAGGGTCCCCCGTTCTCATCGCTCACTAG